ACCCTCAATGTGGCGACGAAATATCCGGCTGCCCCCAGAAACCTTCGAACATCCTTTGCTGTCTTAGGTGTTGGCATGTCAGCAATGGCACGACAGGAGTCTGGGTCAGGTCGGATACCGTCTGTGCTCACCTGGAATCCCAGAAACTTAAACTTCTGAGATGCCAGAGTGCACTTACTCACGTTAAGTTTGAACCCCGCCTTATCTAACAATGCCAACGTCTCAGTCAAATCTCGTAAGTGCTCATCAAACGTCCTGGAGTAGATAACCACATCATCTTTTAGTAATTCCCTCAAAGAATTAATACTGGACAATACGAAAACAAAATCCAGACTTAAACATGTAAAACAAATTCTTAGAAAAATAATAACACTTATATATGAGAATTAGGTAACCAAGGGGGAACACTTAACTACCGAAGGGATACTTAACCTGAAAGGGAACTTAATATATAGGGAACTTAATTTAGTACTTAAGGAAATCTCGATTTAACCTATAACCGTCCCGTCCCGGCCCGCCCTGTCGCTTCTCCAAGCCTAGGTAACCACATCCACCTAGATCCCGACAGTACCAAATAATCCTGTCCTTCGCGGTCACGGTTAGACTAGATAGCGGAACAACCGACGGATCTAACTGTCCGACACCACCGTTATTCCGTTGCTAGAGAATCTACTACGCCATCCCTCAGTGAACTCTTGGTACCTTCATGGCTGTACCGTAAAAATCTAGCGATTGGGTCGCCTACCACGCCCTCGGGGATAATAATTAGCGTCCTAATACTTCCCCGCCCCGACAATTCGACACCTAGAATTGTTGCTGCGAAAACCACCACGCAGCACCCTTGTCCGTAGTTGCAGAGGGTCGAGAAAAAATAATACCCTTTCCAACTACCCAAGGCGGCCTCCACGCTAAACTGTCTGATTAGCGCATACGCTTACTGTATATAATTAAACTTCCCAGCCCCGCACGACCCTAGAATCGCCTACTCTATGCGAATCGCACCACATAGGATTACCGTCGACTCTATCTCATGGGCCCCGGCTGCACCCTCACCACATAACATAACCGAACGGACAGGCGCGTGAGGCTTCAATAATCGTCAAGAAATTATTGAAACACCGCTGCTACCATTGTAACGACCGCTTACCCTGTCGTAATAACCGCGGCCTCTATTGTAATAACCCAATGTTCCCCAGTATTAATCCTGTTATCTTGTGATCTCTCATAATCGTACTATACGCTCTCTATTGTAATTCTCCGTCTTTCTTCACTCAATACCCCAGCTTAACACTGTTACAGTCCAGTATGACCCCTCACTGGACTGCCACGTATGTAAGAGGAATATTAAATGAGGAAGATACACCAAGGACAAGGGTTATTAGTAAAAAAAACAATAACAAAACACATTTACACTGCCACCACCTTCCTGACCAACCATACCTGAATGTGTCAATCACCGATCCCCCAGGAAGGCAAGGAATCAGTAACCATGGGACTCCGGGTAATATGAATTTCCGTAGTAAATTCTGGAAAATTAGTTTGTGTAATTTACGTTACTAATTTAAATCCAAGGGCAACTTTAGTATCTAATTAATAGTAGGAGAACATGGGGGCTTCCAATACAACACCTAAAAATGACAAAGTAGCAAAATATATCAAAGGGGAGTTAACTGAATACCACTGGACAAGCTATACAATTTATTTTATGAAACATGTAAATTAAGACAATTTGAACACATAACCTATTCTATTTCCCTAGAGGCACAATGGATATTTACCGAGGACACAAAACTCAAGTGCTACTCTACCTTAAATACCCGCACTACGGCCACGATGTTGATGGCTGCCCTCAGCCCCGAGGATACGGGCTTGCGGCCCTGTTCCTAATACACTCCCAAGACACACTAATGAAATTTAGTTTTTCCAGCTTATTGCTGGGAAGGATTACTCCTCCCACCATCTACTACAGCCCCAGGGCTCCACCCATTATTTTGGCACTGGCCAACCATTTAACACGTAGGCCTGAGGTCTGGCACTCTAGGGCCAATAAGGACTTGGCCCTTATCTCAGGCCAATCACCTTCACTGATCTGTCGTGGAAAGCTACATGAATTTCTGAAGATTGAGTCAGCTCTCCCCAGCTAGAGAAGGGGGACAAGGCGCGTCTATGGAGCCCAGACACCTGCGAGCAATGTTTACAAAACTGATAATTTATGTTCAAGCCTGTCTCCTCTAAGATAGGAGTAGGGACATTTGACTCTGCCTCGTATGGGGAAGAGGCCGGTGAGAGGGGAAGAGAGGGGATGAGAGGGGATGGAGAGGGGAACATCTGAGTGGGGAATTGAGTGGGAGAAGCCAAGGTGTCCACGACCACCCTACCCTCAGGTCAACCTCTTGACCCTGACAAATGGGCGACAGGGGGGGGGGAAGAGGAGGAGACGAATGACGGCCACGGGGAGGGGAGAAGGAAGGAGGGGAGGAGAAGGAGAGGAGGGGAGAAGGAGAAGGAGAGGAGGGGAGAAGGAGAAGGAAAGGAGGGGAGAAGGGAGAACCAATGATCTGAGCCCCAGATCATTACACAGGAAAGTTACCAGGACAGTGACCAGTACAGTGATGCAGGAAAATTACCAGTACAGTGATGCAGGAAAGTTACCAGGACAGTGACCAGTACAATGATGCAGGAAAATTACCAGGACAGTGTCCAGTTCAGTGATGCAGGAAAGTTACCAGGACAATGACCAGTACAGTGATGCAGGAAAGTTACCACGACAGTGACCAGTACAGTGATGCAGGAAAGTTACCAGGACAGTGTCCAGTACAGTGATGCAGGAAAGTTACCAGGACAGGCTTCTCTTGATAATGTCATTAATCTCACCGTGTCTTGCATGCCATCCTCCTGTCCTTTGGCAGAGAAGGCCATGCCGTCCGTATCTGTCGGCCTCTGCCTCGCCGCAAATACACCTGTATTCTGTGTGGATTGGGGCAGCGAGGCGGAGAGCCACAGCAATTCAGAGGGGCCTGCGGTGTGAGACGGGTGGGTGTTGCTGACATTGGGGTTGCTAATAGGAAGTCACCTGCATGAGGAGCTGCAACACCTCTAAGTCGGGCAGTGTCATGTGGTGTTATCACAGCTTCTTGGCATGTCGCAGCTGCTTGGTCGACAGTGTGGCGATCCCAGCTGGATTGCTTGTGAGCTTTAGAAAGTGGTGATTGGAGTGCTGTTCCTGCATGAGAGACCCATTTGGAGGTGCAGACCATAAAGCTGGGATCATATACCACTGACTGTTGACATAGGTACTCAGGTAGGATTTCCTTCACCAAGTTGTCAGACGCCACTGAAGAGGACAGGAACGCTGGTACAGCAATTTGTGTTACTGTGCGAACGCCAAGGCCCCCAAGTCTGACAGGAAGGGAGGCCTGTTTCCACTGTGGGTTACTGAGAGAAAGATTGAGGGCTTTTTCTAGCATTGATTTCAGCAGGCTATCGTACTCTTCTAATTTAATATTATTGAAAGATGGCAAACATCTTAGAAAGTAGATCAGCCGGGGGAGGGACAAGCATCTGATGATGATATAGAATGCATCATGAGCGTCAATGTCTTCAGTCCTCTCATCCATCCTCGTCAGGTCATTGATCGTCTTATCAAGGATCTCGTCGATTGCGTTCCCTAAAAGAGGAGCTCCTAGGAGTGTGCTGTCTTCAGGGTTGGTTATATGGATATCGGGCAAAACAACCTTTATTCGCTATATTATGTGCTGGTTGGTGGAGGTTATTTCGCACTTGGAAGAGTTCAGGGTGAGGCCTAGACTTGCCCCTCACGCCAGAATTATTTTTATGTAATCCAGGAAGGAGTTTGGGAAGCCAGCTAGAATATCATCGTCCAAAAACAGTGGACGATGGTATTTTAGTGACTTCCTTGATGACTAGGCAGAAAAGAAAAGGAGCAAAGGGACACCCTTTTGTTGGGTGTTGTTGGACACCCTGTTGGACACCTTCTTGTGATTCATTTTCATGTTCTCCGAATAACAGAGTTAGATTCTTTCTGTAACACGAGTTTACAAACGGGTTGAGGGAAGGAAAAAAAGCGATGAACCGCACTGAGTACTGCATCCCTTCTTACCAAATTGAAAACATTTTTGAAATCCAGTTTCATCGGGGCTTTTTCATCTGTAATGTTGGCAATGTAGACTCTAGCTGCATGAGCCGCTGCCTCACACCCTTGGGGAATGCCAAACCCAAGCTGTTTTGGCTTCAGCATGTCTGCTAATGCCTGGCTAGTTGTTCTAGCAGCAGCCTTAGCGACGAGGCGCCGGAGTGAATTGCCCACAGCAATCGGTCTGATTCCTCTATCCTTTTTCTTCAGGGCACAGAGGGTAGCACCAAACAAGAGAGGCCGTATGATCTCTGGTATGTTGCCAGCTAGACATGTGTTGGAGAATCTAGTTTGTTCCACCAGGAGGCCCTGTGCAATGTCTCTCGGTGCAGGGTTGAGCATTTGTTTGATGTGGTTTGGGTCTTAGTCCTGTGAACCCGCCTGCTGATCCTGGTGGGATGGATAAAGCTGCTTAATCCACCATGGATTCGACCACACACAAGGGTTCAGCTCTGGTAACACCGACTAGTGCAACACTGTTGTTCACGTGCAGCTCTGGGTTTGAGTTTGTCTCTCAGGGCTTGTGCTGTATTGTCATCTTTGGTGGCAACTGTGTCCTTGCTGGTGATGACTGATTGCCCCTACTGTGTTGCCTTCTATTTTTCTGCTGACTGTTGTTCTGATTTTGGATGACTCGGTTCTGTTGTTAATACCTTTCCTGCAGTGAGTGTTTTTGGCACGGGTGGGGAGGGGCGCCTGGTTGTCCTCTCTTGGAAAACTTTTTATAACCGTAGTGACTGAGGAAGCTAGTGATTTGTCTCTCCTTGCAGGGACAGCTAGGCATATGTTACCAAACAGGAGTAGGTTGCGCCATGCTTGGATGGTTCCGAGATAGACAATAATTAACCTTTTTCAGCAGGGTGGATAGTTTGCCTGCTGCTTGGGAGCGGGCAGCTATGGAAATGTGCTGCAAGGTTCTAACCGATGTTGCTTTGATAGCCTTTAGTAAGTTCTCTGTCGGAATGAAACCGTTGGAGGTGTTTTCCCTAACTCCTGGTGTGGGGGCGTTGATTGATACTATCTTTGGGAGGGAGCCATGTTCCCGCACATTGGGTTCCTTTGTGGGCATGCTTGGGCACATCCCCGTTTTTCTTGAGATTCCACACATTGTCACACACTTGGCATGTGTCTTCTCTGTTGCTGATTGATGGCGCCTCCTGGCTGAGAGAAGCCTGGCTGTCAGTTGTGACCTACGACAGCGGTGCGCGCTGGGTGGACGCTGGGCGAGCGATTGGTAAACGCTGGTTGGGCGATGGGTTGGCGCTGGGTGGATACAGCGTGGACGTCGCGTGGGGATGGGGGGGGTGGGGGTGGACACGGGTGGTCAGCTGGCCGTGGCAATCACCACTCACACGAGTTCGTATCTTATTTATTTATTTTATTTATTTATTTATATATATACAAGAAGGTACATTGGGTTTGTGAGAATACATTGGATAGTACAGTATTTACATTCTTGTAAAGCCACTAGTACGTGCAGCGTTTCGGGCAGGTCCTTAATCTAACAGATAATTTTAAGTAGGTAATTTCTATCAGAATTGATAAATGTTAAAGATACATTGCAAGAGAAAAATGAGATGAGAGAGCTTAGTAAGTATATTAAAGCACATTGTTATATTAAAGCTCTGACTGATTACATTGACAGCTTGATTAGCAATTTAAACAAGATTAATAGTCACCATACAGCAGATTGACAGCACATATAAGACAGCAATGATCACAATGGTAAAGATGTTCAAATTGGGAACATAAAGGTTGGGAGATTGGGTAGCAATAGATACAGTGCAATTTAAGGCAAAAAGTGAAAAACTATGAAGATGAAATTCGGTACTTTTTGGTATTGGTTTTGAATAATGTAAAAGTTGGACAGCTTTTCAATTCAATAGGGAGTGAGTTCCATAAACTGGGTCCCTTTATTTGCATAGAGTGTTTACACAGATTAAGTTTAACTCTGGGGATATCAAAGAGATATTTATTTCTGGTGTGGTGATAATGGGTCCTATTACATCTGTCCAGGAAGAGTTTCAGACAAGGATTTGCATTTAAGAACAGGGTTTTGTAAATGTAGTTGACACAAGAGAATTTATGGAGTGAGATTATGTTTAGCATGTTTAGGGAGTTAAACAAGGGGGCTGTGTGTTGTCTGAAAGCAGAATTTGATATTATTCTGATAGCAGATTTTTGCTGGGTGATGGACTTGAGGTGGTTTGCAGTGGTTGAACCCCATGCACAGATACCATAGTTGAGATAGGGATAGATTAGTGCATAATATAGAGAGATGAGAGCAGAGTTAGGTACATAATATCTGATTTTGGAGAGTATACCAACTGTTTTAGAGACTTTCTTAGTTATGTGTTGTATGTGGGTACTGAAGTTGAGTCTCTTATCTAGGAATAGGCCAAGAAACTTTCCATCATTTTTATTGCTAATGTTTACATTGTCTACCTGAAGCTGAATTGCATTTGTAGATTTGCTTCCAAATAAGATGTAGTAGGCCTTTTCTATGTTAAGTGTTAGTTTGTTAATTGACATCCATAAGTGGACTTTTTTTAGTTCATTATTAACAACATCATTTAATGTATGTGGGTTGGGGTTGGAGTAGATGAGGGTAGTATCATCAGCAAACAAAATTGATTTCAGAATGTTAGAGACATTAGGCAGATCATTGATGTATATAAGAAATAGAAGAGGTCCCAAGATGGTGCCCTGTGGCACTCCAACGGTTATTGGTAGAATGGGAGAGGTTATATTATTGATGGCTACACATTGGTGTCTATCACTAAGATAGGATTGGATATAGTCCAGTGCATGGCCTCGGATTCCATAATGATGGAGTTTACATAAGAGGTAATCGTGATTAACAGTATCAAAGGCCTTTCTCAGGTCAATGAAGAGTCCAATCGGAAACTCATTTTTGTCAAGGGCTGAGTAAATTATATCAAGGAGACTAATAATTGCATCGTTGGTACTCTTTTGAGAGCGGAAGCCAAACTGACAGGAGCTAAGAATGTCGAATTTTACGAGATAGGAGTAGAGCTGTTTGTAGATAATTTTTTTAAATATTTTTGATAGTATGGGTAGGTTCGATATTGGTCTATAATTGTTTATGTCTGCCGGATTACCTCCTTTATGATCTGGCGTTACTCTTGTTTTTTTAAGGATATCAGGGAAAGTATGACACTCAAGGGATTTGTTGAACAGCAGAGCTATAGGTGGCGCAAGGGCATGGGAGGCGTTCTTGTATACAATGGATGGGATTTCACTGATGTTCCCAGCTTTGGTTTTTAGTGAGTGTATGATGGACACAACATCTGTCGGGCTGACTGGTGAAAGGAGAAGAGAGTTTGGATAGCTGCCTGAGAGATATGTGTTGATATGTGGCTGAGTCTGTGGGATTTTACTTGCAAGGTTAGCACCAATCGATGAAAAGAAGCTATTAAATTCATTCGCCATTTCTAAGTCAGATGACAGTGTAAGGCCATCCTTAGAGAGTGTTATCTGGTTGTGGGAGTGTTGTTTAGTTCCCAGGATGTTAGAGATAGTATTCCATGTGCTTTTCATGTTGCCTTTTGCTTCTTAGAATCTAGTCTCATAATATGAAAGTTTTGCTTTTCTTATGATACTGGTAAGCACTGATGAGTACCTTTTAACTACTTCCTTTGAAACTAGGCCACTCCTAAATTTCTTTTCATATTCATTTTTTTTGTTGATTGATTTAATTATGCCACTCGTGAGCCACGGGTTATTTTTCCTTTTATCAGTTACTTGTTTGGTAAGGAGGGGACAGTGAGTGTTGTAGAGGCTTAGAGTTTTGGAGAGAAAGAGGTTAGTTGATGAGTTTATATTCTGTGTATTATTATATTCAGATTTCCAGTTAATATTGTGAAGTGCATTGGAGAGATTGCCTAAAGCTGATTCACTATGTAGCCTGAATGAGAGTTTCTTGGTTTCTGGTGGTGATGTGTCCAAGTTTGCAATGAGGAAAGTAGGATAGTGATCAGTTGTTCTGTCATAAATTACCCCAGATGTAAGGGGAGCTGTTATATTAGTCCATAGGTGATCCAGGGTAGTGGCAGATGTTTGAATGACTCGGGTGGGCTTGGTGATTGTGGGGATTAGCATACAGGAGTGCATGCTATTACGGAAATAGTCAACTTGAGGGTTGTTTTGAAGACCCAGGTCAATATTGAAATCACCTCCCAGAATGATGTGATTTTTGTTGAGATTGTTATTTATGATAAGATTCCTTACATTGTCTGAGAATAAAGCTATGTTGGTATTAGGAAATCTATAGATGGCACCGATAGTCAGGGAGGATTTAAGGGATTTACTGGAGAACTTGGCAAAGGTATATTCACAATAGTCGTCTCTATCACTAATAACACTATTGCAAATGAAGGTATCTTTGTAATATATTGCTGTACCGCCACCTTTTTTATTAGGCCTGCAGTTATGAATGGCTTTATAACCAGCTAAATTGTAGAGTTGGGTATAGTCATTACTTAGCCAAGTTTCTGTTAAAATGATGAATGATAAATTAGTACCTAGTGCTGTAAGTAGTGCATTTATATCATCAAAGTGTTTACCAAGTGACCTAACATTTTGGTTGTAAACTGATAAGCAGGTGCTATTTAGGAGTTTGTTTTTTGCAAGATTTGCTGTGTAATACCTGCAATAATGATGATCAATGTGCTGATTTGTGTGGGTATGAGACAGAAGATTTCGATCAGGATCAATATCAGTAAGCATATAGATACAATAATGTCACGATACACTAATTAAGCAATTACAGGAACAGATAAATACTAAATCTGCTGTAAAATAGAAAGTAATTATAGCAAAACACAACAATACAATAATATAACAATACAATAAGAGCTTACAAAGTATTGAGTCTGCTAAAATTAGAGAATAATTATAGCAAAACACAACAATAAATGCAAGTAAACAAAAGAATTGAAACAACTAGAGGTAGAATAAAGGTCACTAGATAGCCATGGAGGACACACAAGGTTGGTGGAGGGAACAAAAGATCAGTAGAGACTGTCAAGATGAATATATAAAAAATTTGACAAATGATAATTGGAAAGTAAAATAATCTTAAAGATAATAAATTTTATTTAGCTTAGTTTTTAACCTATAATTAGTATGAACTTAATTAAGAGAACAAAATGAGATCAATAATTGATTTCAATAAATGATATATATCAATACAATTAAATTTAAAATTTAAAAAGAATAGGGTAAGATTAGATTTAAGACTAAAATTTTACAATGATACTGAGGTAGATGCTTGCATAAGTGGACTTGACGGATTATTTAGGAAATTATATGAATGAGAGAACATTAGGTAAATGGTAAGGCAGAGACAGCACCTTGGACAAAGTTAGATTAAGTTAGGTTAGGCTGAAGCACTGAAAGAGTTATTTTAAGTATTGGCATTGGTCTGGTTCAGGTTTTCAGATATACAGTACCACAATCACTAAAGAAGGCCAGTAGTTGTTGGTCACACTTTATTTCATATCTTTTTCCTGCACTTTCCTTCTTTGCAATAATCGTTCCATTCCTAGTGTAGCACTGCTTGATAAGACCAGGGTTTAGTTTGCAAATTTGACGCAGCCTGAAGATCTTTCTCTCAGCCTGAATATCTTTCTCTCATGGGAGTAACCTGGGTGCCCCACTGTGTCATGTGCCATGCCTGGATACTTGGGGAACCACATCTCTCCCAGCACATCTTCCTAAATCATCCTAAAACCACCGGGTGTAAGTGGGTGGCTGGTAGATGCTGGGCTGAGTATAATAGGGTGACGGAGTGGCAGAAAAACGTGGTTCAGTGGGGCAGTGAGGGAGAGGGAGACTGGCACTTCTTAGCTTGTGGGTTGGATGATGGTACACACTTGAGGATATTTCTGGGGGGGGGGACACTAACACTGGAATATTTTCATAGTGTACCCAACCATTCCCCACTCCTCCGTTCTCCTCATTCTTCCCACGATTCTCCCCCTCTCCGATCCCCACGTCCTCCCCACCATCCCCCATCCCCTCGATCTCCCCACCACTCCTCACTCCCTCATCCCCTCG